GTGGCCAATGGGTTTGCTGCATTAAACAGGCACTACTTCATTAAATGAAGCCTGGGACCCTGCTGTCACGTGATGATTTGCCTTTAATGCCTTGGCCGCAATTTTGTTCGGCCTCGGCCTCGGCCTGCGCTTGAGGCCGAGATGATAATGCCTTGGCATTTCTTCTTTTATCTTTGGGAAGGCGAAGTACCCTGGCGAAACGCTGCGTTTCAGCTTCTGCGAACAAACGCCAGGGCCTAGAGAAAGGGCTCCTTCGGCCAGCTCATGGCCGTGGTTTATCAGGCACAAACAGAGCTAGGTTGAGATCCAACGAGAATGGGTAGGAAGATTGCTTAATTTTAGGTTAGACAACAAATGATCAAATTAGGGAATTAGGAACACAAGGTTATGACCACACACCATGGCTTAATCATACATTAGCTAGAATCAATCCGTTAATCTAATTGAACTTGGGAACTTATCTGCTTGAGTTAGTTATTTTCTTTCTTCCTTGTTTTATTTATTTCCCTTCTTTTTCATTTCTGTTTTGTGTAGGGAAAATGAATTGAATCATTCAATCACCAATCCTCGTGGGATCGACCTCGCACTTACATACGCTATACTACCGAACGGTTCGTGCACTTGCGAGTATCACAAGTTGAGGATGCAACTGAATCCATTTTGGTGAAGCTGTATCTACACAACAAAGTCCGGCAAAAGACTTTAAACTTAGCGCTTCTTGGGGGGCAACCCAAGGTGAAGAGAAAGAGTTTGATGTCGTCCTAATCGCTTCAAAGTGGAGTTTCTCTAGACTCAAACTTTCTTTTATTTTATTTTATTTTTATTTTTATTTTATTTTATTTTATTTTATTTTTGAGTTAGGGTTACAATTTTCCAACCAAGGTAATTTCGAATTTCTTGATGTTTCTCTTTGTTTTTCTTACTCTTTCTTTCTTTTATTTGTTTGTGTTTCTTTTTTGTTAGTAAGTTTGGGAAGTGGTTTGCTTCCTGATTGCACACTCTGAAACTTGACTCGAATGCTTATTTCATTTCTTAACATGTGATTACAAATATAAACTTGAAAATGCATACATAAATTTCTCAATCACATGTTTCTTTTTGCATTCTGAGCCACCCGAGGCTTCTGCTAATTGCCTCTATCTACTCGCATTTGTAGAATCTGCAACAGCTCTACATGGTCCTCATTTTTTCTCTGCAGTGCTTCCACATGCTGATTGGCGCAGTAGAGCCGCTTCTGCAAGTCCGCCACCTGAGCCTTCAAGGAAGCTACTTCCTCGGTCAGCGCTCCACACTCTCGCGTCCTCGCCAATAGGCGCATGCCCAAATTCGTAGCCGAGACCGCATGGAGCACGGTTAAATTGTGGGACTCGTCCACTGCCATCTTGTCAGACCTCTGCGCCACATGCAGATGATCCGCCACTGTAAGTCTGCTGACAGTCATGCCTTCCCGCAGTACTGCCCTACACGGCACCGCCTCAGAGAAGTTTGAGGCCGAGCCATGATGGTATTAGGAGTTTGGGAAGATAGGGTTTGGAGGAGCCCTTATCTCTGCATTTGGTGGTGCAAGTGACAACTCAAGGTTAAGGTCATCAATGAGCATAGCTAAGGATGCCATTGTTTTGTTTCTGGATTATTTGATGGTTTTCCTTGAGTTTGCAGGAAGAAATGCAAGGTATCATCCACCTAACGAGGTGTGGTTTAAATAGACATCTGCTGATGAGGGATTTGCAGTCGAGCTATTTGCCCTTTTTCTCTCGATCCCTTCGCTTCACGAGCAATCTGCCGTTCGCATCCATTACAAGGGAGCATTTCTACCTTCACTTTACTTTTTTT